AATCATGTCATCAGCAAATAGTGATAGTTTGCGTTCTTCTTTTCCTATTCATATCCCTTTAATTTCTTTCTTCTGTCTTATGGCTCTGGCTAGAGTTTCAAGGAGGATGTTGAATAAAAGTGGTGAAAGAGGACATCCTAGTCTTGTTCCAGTTCTTAGAAGGAATGTTTTCAATTTTTCTCCATTTAGAATGATGTTGGCCTTGGGCTTAGTATATATAGCTTTTACAATGTTGAGGTTTGTTCCTGTTATCCCTAGTTTTTCTAGTGTTTTGAACATGAATGAGTGCTGTATTTTGTCAGATTCTTTTTCTGCATCTATTGAGATAATCATGTTATTCTTGTCTTTTAGCCTGTTGAGGTGATGAATTACGTTTATTGATTCCCATATGTTGAACCAATCTTGCATCTCTGGAATGAACTCTACTTGATTTAGTGCACTATCTTTTAAATATGTTGCTGTATGCAATTTGCCAGAATTTCTTTGAGGATTTTTGCATATATATTCATCAGGGATATTGGTCTGAAGTTTTCTTTCCTTGTTGTGTCTTTGTCTGGTTGGGTATCAGGGTGATACTACCTTCATAGAATGAGTTTGGAAGGGTTCCCTCCTTTTCTATTTCATGGAATAATTGGAGGAGGATTGGTGTTAATTCTTCTTTGAAGGTCTTGTAAACTTGGCTAAGAATCTGTCTCGTCCTGGGCTTTTCTTAATTGGTAGACTTTTCATGGTGTCTTCAATTTCATTGCTTAAAATAGATCTGTTTAAATTGTTTATGTCCTCCTGATACAGTTTGGGTATGTTATAAGACTCTAGAAATTTGTCGATGTCTACAATATTTTCTATTTTATTGGAGTATAAATTTTCTAAATAGTTTCTTATTATCATCTGTATTTCAGTACTGTCCATTGTGATATTTCCTTTATCATCATAAATTTTAGTAATTTGAATTTTCTTTTCCTTTTTCTTTCTTGTTAGTTTTGCTAAGGGTTTATCAATTTTATTTGTTTTTTTCAAAGAAATTTTTTTTGTCAGTTCTTTGAATTATTTTTTGTTGTTGATTCAATTTCATTGATTTCAGCTCTTTTTAAAATAATTTCCTGTCTTCTAATGCTTTGGTATTTATTTGTTCTTTTTCTAGGGCTTTGATATGTAATATTAGGTCATGAATTGTTGGCTTTTTATTCTTTTAATGAATGAGCTCAATGCAATGAACTTTCTCTTAGCACTGCCTTCATAGTGTCCCAGAAATTTTGATATGTGATCACTATTCTCACTTACCTCTAAATATTTTTTAATTTCATCCCTGATTTCTTCTGCTGTTCATTTGTCATTCACTAGCATATTATTTAGTCTGCAGGTGTTAGGGTAGCTTCTATTTTTTATTTCATCATTGATTTCTAACTTCATTTCATTGTGATCTGATGGGATGCAAGGTATTATCTGTTTGTTTGTTTTTTTTTTAATCTATGTATTTGCTAAGAGTTGCTTTATGGCCTAATACATGCTCTATTTGAGAGAAGCATCTGTGTGCTATGCAAAAGAAAGTGTATTCGCTCCTTGATGGATACAACTATTCCATATATGTCTGTATGAAATGTCCTTCTTGGTCCTATCTGATTAACTTTGGCTTGAAGTCCACTTTATCTGATAGGAGGATAGAAACCCCTACTTATTTTACAAGATCCATGTGAATGATATATTTTTTCCCATCCTTTTACCTTCAGTCTGTGGATGTCTTTGCCCATGAGGTGAGTCTCTTGGAGACAGCATATTATTGGGTCTTGTCTTTTAGTCTGCTAGTCTGTGTCTTTTGATAGATGAATTTAAGCCATTTACATTCAGTGTGATTATTGAGAAAGATTTTTATTCCCTGTCATTTTGATTTATTTCTAGTTTTTAATTTGAATTAGTGTCTCCTTTGACTGACTATTCTTTTTGTGTAGTTCCTCCCTTTGCTGGCTTTTGCTTTTATTTTTCATTACATCTTCATGAAATATTTTATTGAATATGTTTCATAGTGCAGGCTTTCTAGTTGTGAATTCTTTTAACTTTTGTTTATCATGGAAGGTTTTAATTTCATCATCAATTGTGAAGCTTAATTTTGGTGGGTATAGTATTCTTGGCTGGCATTCATGTTTTAAGAGCTTGATGTATATATTATTCCAAGACCTTTTAGCTCTGTGGGTCTGGGTTGAAAAATCAACTGAGAAGTGTGTTGGCTTCCCTCTAAAACTGATCTATTGTTTTACTCTGGCAGCCTTTAAAACTCTATCTTGATTCTGTATGTTAGGCATTTTCATAATAATGTGCCTCAGTGTGGATGTTTTGTAATTTTGTACATTTGTTGTCCTGTAAACCTCTTACATTTGATTTTCCATTTCATTCTTTAGGTTTGGGGAAATTTCTGATATCGTTTCATTGAAAAGATTGTGTATTCCTTTGGTTTGTAACTCCACCCCTTCATTTATCCCGATAAATCTTAAATTTGGTATTTTCATGTTATCCCATAATTCTTAGAATTTTCTGTTCATGATTTCTTAACATCTTCTCTCCATGATCAACTCTGTTTTCAAGATTATATATTTTATCTTCATTGCCTGATGTTCTGTCTTCCAAGTGGTCTAGTCTTTCCATTGGTCATGCTTTCCATTGAATTTTTAATTTGTTTATTGCTTTCTTCATTTCAAGGATTTTTGCTTTACTTTTTTTTTTTTTCCGAGAATCTCTCTTTATTGAAGTGATCTCTCAATTCCTGGATTTTCTCTCTGATTTCGCTCCTTACATTGTTCTGTATGTTGCAGATTGGTTTAACTATGTACATTCTGAACTCCTTCTCTGACATTTCTTCTACATGGATTCTAATATTGGAGCATCTTGGTTTGTTTGGGGTGATTTGTTCCCTTGTTTTTTCATGTGTTTTGTGTGTCTATCCCTTAAGCATTGTGGATCTAGGGCAGTATAGTTTCTTCCCTGTAGACTTACAGTGTCCTTGAAAGTTTCTAGTATCTCACCTTTAAGCAGGAGACCAATTATTAACAGCACCCAGTGCAAAGAATATACAACCTTAAGCCATATAGTTCCTATTCAGACATCTACTGTTTTGTTGCAATAAACAGAAATGATATATTCAATTATTGCCTACAATAATTTAGACATTTAGAATTTCTGTTCATGATTTCTTAACATCTTCTCTCCATGATCAACTCTGTTTTCAAGATTCATTGTCTGATGTTCTGTGTAGTCTGTTGGTCATGCTTTCCATTGAATTTTTAATTTGTTTATTGCTTTCTTCATTTCAAGGATTTTTGCTTGATTTTTTTTTTTTTTTTGAGAATCTCTCTTTTACAAAAGGGTTTACAATTTCAAGTTTGCAAAGGGTTTACAAGTTCAAATAGTGGACAAGAGAGAACCAAAGTGGTTTATGATGTGATATTCATGGGGAAGGAGGAGAGAAGATAGAAGTAAAAAAATATAGGAAGACTGAAAGAGGAATTAATATGACTGAAAGAGGAATTAATTAATATTAATTAATTAATTAAGGAGAAAAGAGAGAAAGAGAATCCAGGGAAACAGATAGGGAGATGAAAAATATATATAAAGTAAAAATTGTTAAAAAAATTAAAAAGAAAAAGAATAAGTTAAAAAAAGAGAATACACAAGAAAACTGTAACATTCTGTTCATAGATCCTAGTGCTCAATAAACTGATGCATGAAAAGTACTTCCATTTCAAAGATGGTATAAATGTGAGAGAGAATAGAAAAAAGAAAAAAAAAAGGGATCTTGATGAAAACTCGAACTATTGTTTCTGTTGGAGTTCAAAAGTTTCTCAGCTTCCCTTCTCAGCAGTTAGGTGAGGTTTTCTGGAGTTTGATGCTTGCTCCACCCTCAGAGTCCATGGGGTTGATAGGGTGAGAGGGTTAGTCCTGGAAGCTGAGTTCCTGGAGGAGGACGTAGGCTTGGTATGCTCGGTCTCCTTGCTGCATGCCAGTTGGTCTGGAGATTTTAAGTCAGTGCACCTTTAAGACTCAGCCATTGCTGGTTCATGCTGGAAGATTGCACCCCAGGGATCTCGTTGTCCACTCATGTGGTGTAGGAGCCTGTTCTTAGTACACTATTTTGCCTATAGACCCCACGATTCCTGGTTTCTGATTCAGTGTCTGAGCTGCATCTGTCCTGCCCCCGCCATTTCATATTCCTCGCCAGGTGCTTCTCTCCCAGCTGGTCCTGCAAGCAGCCAGATTGGAGATTCAGGGGGAGCCAGGTGGGTTTGTGCGACCAGTATTCTCCTGTGTAAATCTCTTTCCAGGCTTCATTTTCTCCTGGTGACTTAGGTACACTCTTGGTCATGCAGTGTGGGTTTGCCTGTCTTGTTTTTTGGTCCAGACTTGGGATTTCTAGTAATCTGTTTTTCTAGCTGCTAGCCCCCAAGCTGCAACTACCAAAATAGTTCCTTCTGCTGTGCTATTTGCATGCCACTGAGAGAGATGGCGACTTCCCTCCCCTTTTACAGATACTGTGCAGCACAGCTTACTGTTTTTTTGAGCCGTGTCTCTGATCTCTAACCTCTCTGTACCCGGACATGCCTCAGTCTTCCTAAGAATGGGGATTCCTTTAATTCCTTTATTGCTTTACTGTATTCTTTTAGGGACTGTTCTGGTTTTCACCTCAGCTACTTTTGTGGCTATGGGGCTAAGGTCTTCCCTCTTTGTTTTATTATATACAGTTTCTTGAGTACCTAATCTGTTTTGAATGTCCAGTATTTCCAGTAATGTTCCCCCTAATTCATGATTGTTTACCCACTTTACTGAAAAGTTGCCTGTCCACTTTTCTTGACTCACACCACAGAGCTACTAGGGAAGTGACCCTTCTCTTCTGCCATCTTGCCACCTCCTCCTGGTCCATTCTTGTCTTTCATGACCTTGGCAGTTTTGAAGAATAATGATCAAGGCATTTTGTAGAATGTCTCTCATAATGTGCTTGTCTGATATTTCCTCAGAATTAGATTGTGATTCTGGAACTGTGGAGAGTGCACCCAGAGGTGATGTGCCTTTCTCAGTGCTCCATAGGAGGCGTTCCATGCTGTCAGGAGGACTTGATATGGATGATAAAAGGTGAGGGCTTACCTTTATCACGTGTTCCCATGGTGTCTGTCAGGTTTATCTCTGTTTTCCTGAAGATTTGTGATGTGGAGAATTTTTTTTTCTTTTGTGCTTCTTGGCTACATACACACACACACACACACACACACAATCTTTTACACGTTCTAAAATATAACAACCTGATTGAGATTTAGTTTATATATATCACATAGTGCATCCCCTTAAGAGTGTGCAAACTGATGGTTTGTATTACATACACAGAGTTGTGCAACATCACCACAATGAATTTTAAAGCTTTTTTAGTCTCAAGAAGAAATCCCATTGCCATTAGTAGTCACTAACATTCATCCTCAATGCCCAGCCCTAGGCAGTCCATCCCCATTGATTTGCCTATTCTGGACATTTTATTGAAATGTTGTCCTGTCACATGTGCTCTTTTGTGACTGAGTTTTTCATTTGCATACTGTTTTCATGGTTTCTCTGTGTGGTGGTGATTTCAGTGCTGCATTCCTTTCTGTTGCTAAATAATATTCCACTGAGTGGACAGTTGTGTTTTGTTTACCCATTCATGAGCTGATAGAAATTTAGGTTGTTTTCAATTTCTATCTGTTGTGTATAATGCTGCTGCAATCATTTATGAACACATTTTGAAAAATTAAGCTCTGTATCTTAATTATTGAGGTCTAAGAGGGAAAGAGTTATTTATATAATCTATGTGCAAGTCTTCCATGAGATATTTTCTCCAATCAATGGCTTGTCATTTTTGTTTTGTGTGATTTGGGGAGCAAAAGTTTTTAATTTGCTGAAGTTTTATGTTTTAAACTGATAAATTGATCATTTTTATGTTTTAGCTTTTATATAAAATGCTTAAACTATTTGAAAATTAATTTTTATGTATGGTATGAGGTAAGTCTTAAGGCTTTTTTTGTCCCCATGTGAATATCTATTTATTCTAGCATCACTTTTTTAAAAGACTCTCCTTTTCCTTTTTACCTTTATGAAAAACCTCTTGACGATATATTTGTGGATCTCTTTTTCGACTCTTTACAGTGATTTGTCTGATATTGATACAGCCCCTCCAGCTTTCCTTTGACTGGTGTTAGCTTAATATAGCTTTCTTCATCCTTTAATTTTAACTTATTTTTATGTTTCTGTTTGAAGTGCATTTCTTATAAGTGGAATATAATTGGCTTTTGCTTTTTAAATCTTCTGTTATGAACCTTTGTCTTTTAATTGGAATGTTTAGAGCATTTACATTTAATGGAATCATTCATGTGGTTGGTTTTAAATCTATTGTCTTGCTGTTTTCTATTTGTCACACCTGTTTTTTTCTTTTTTTTCTTTATTTACCTTCTCTTGGATTAAGATTAATTGAATATTTTAGAAAAATTTTTCCATTTGTCTTTTTTAATATAACCATAGTTCATTGTTTTGTTATTCTAATAGTTGTCTTAGTGTTGTTTTATTTAATTAATTCACGCATTTCTTCATTCATTCATACAGACATGCATTCATACCAGGGGCACTCTACCACTGAGCTATACCCAGCCCTTTTCACATTCATTTTTGAGGCAGGGTCTTGCTGAATTGCCAAGACTGGACTTGGATTGGCTACTTTCCTGCCTCAACCTTCTGCGGTGCTGGGATGACAAGTATGTGCCTCCGCCCTCTTGCTCAGTGCTTACCATCTGTGTGTGCTCCTGATCACAGCCCCTTGAAGGGGTGTTGCGACACCTCATTTCTAAGAGCTGTCCAGCAGTGTGCTTCCACTTCCTGCCTGCTGGTCTTCACACTGTTTTTATAGTGCATCTTACTTATGTGTATGTTTCTCCCCAGGAGGCCTAAGTCATTCAGATTGCACCTGCAGACTGTGGTCCCTTGGAAGAGTGGTGGCAGTGACATATTCTTCCCTGATGACTGGTGCCGCCTCTGTGTGGAGTGCTTGGGCACCCTCAATTTGTGGTGGCCTGCCATCTTGTGTGGTTCCTCCTAGTTTTTCCTCTGCTCCTCAGCTGTGGGCTGGAGTGCTGCTCTTCTGTGCACTGCCAAGGCCCTGTGGCCTGAGTCTCCCCTTTCCTTAAGATGACTGTCACCACTTATCCTGCCCATAGCTTTCCTTACTCCCCCAAGTAAGCATCATCACTCCTTCTCATTTTATGGGTTTTATTGCTGATAATCACAGGAAGATGGGAAAGTAAAAATAGTGAGTGTAGAGAAATGTCTGAATTAAAAAAAAAAATGCCTTCCAGACTCAGAACCCTCAGTCAGAGGGAGGGCTTCCAGGTGCCTCTTTGGTAATCTGCCTTCTGTGTTTATTGGCTCTTAATTTCTTCCACTACCTCAGACTTTTCTTTCAAGTCTGTTTAGTCTTGAAGAATCAGTCAGCGAAGGAGAATAAGATTTTTCCCTTGTCTTACTGGATAGTTTCAAAGTCTAATGACTGCCAGACTGGGAGATGTGGGTCCCCACTGAAGTGACTGTCTGAGACAGGCCTCAGCAGTTCTGTCCTCCTTGTGGACGGTGGTTGCTGCCTTCCTTTGCTCCATCACCTGGCTTAGCACAGTGCCTGGAACATAGTGTCCTTCGGTCAGTGTTATCCACATAGCTGTGTGGATTGTTGCTCATCTCCATAGTCAGATTATTGTTAGAGGACTCCTTGATATCATCTGGGACTTCAGGGCTGATGAAGATGACTTCTCAATGGTAGTGGAAATTGTAGTTTGACAGAAGATTCTGGTTTGTAAAACTACTGCGTCACATATTTTTTACTTATATGTTTGTAAGAAATGATATATACCCAGTGGTAGCAAAATTAAAAATCTGTTTATTAATCAATCAACTTTAAGCAGTCTGACCACGAATGAGTTTGTCATAAAGAATGGGTATCTTATTTGAAAATGACACAAATCGTCCTTATTTTAGAAAATTAGGAAGACTAATAGTTATGAATGCCATTTGCCCTGGCAGTTAGGCCTTTTTTGTATTTCTTGAGTTTTGCCAGACGATTGGTTGCTAAGAAATACCCAATCAAAAGAGGTCCTTTGGATTAGAACAATCCCAGTCATTAGTTTTTCTCACCTGTGATCTCCATGGGCTAAATCTTGATTTTTCTTTCTCTTTCTGCTTCTCCATGATTGCTATTCTGGAAGAAAAGCACGTTGCTGTGCGGCAGATGCCATGGTCTTGCCTGTGCCCCCTCCCCCGCCCCTCGGTAGAGATGAGTGAGATGAAGAATGCAGGGTTGCCGGCCCTGACAGCTGCTGCAGCCCCCTTGCCTGCTCTAGTAACGAATGGCGAGCCACTGCAGAAAGTTTCAGGACTCTTAGGCTTTAGAATTCGGAGCATTTTAAACTGAAAATAGAAAAATAAGCCTTCCGTGTACTTCCCATATTAGTTTAAAATATTCATATGAATATGACACAACGCTTTTAAAAAGACCCAAGTGGATGTTTGGAGTCTTTAAATGGATTCTCTTTGTAAATGAATCACCATTTACAGTGCTGCTGCAATTATATATTTGTGTTAAATTTAATGTGGTATATTGGAGCTAGAGCCGCTCTTTTGTTTAATGCTTTGCCTTAGAAATAATTGGGATGCGTGGATTGTGGGGGAGTGCATTTATGAAAGAATTATTTATAATGTATACATTCTGGCTGGAATTTAAATAAGCACAACCCATAGGCCTGGCACATAAGCCATTAGTTGTAATGGCTTTTGGATGCTGGCCCAGCATGCAGACTTCTTGCTCCTTCCTCGATTTATATATGGCTTGTTATAATAGAGTTGTCATTCTCTCTTCTTTTTATGTTTTTATATTGCCGTATAGCTTATTAGCTTTTTAAGCCTGTCTGTAGCATAAATACTCTAAATGGGAAATGATTTTTAAACTGCATTTGTCTAATTTGTTTGATGAAGTATTTTAGTAAGAAAAGCTAAAAACTGTAAGTATATACTATATAAGATGCTTGGCTTAACCTTAATGTAATCCTTTCTCTGGTTTTCATTGCTCTAGAGCCCATGGTACAAACCGAGTTGATGAAATAGGTCCCTCTTGTTGGCACTTTTCTACAAGGAAACAATGCACGTTTCCAGTGGTGTTGTGTGGATATCTCATACCTGCTGTAGTGAGAGACCTTAAGAATCCAGTCAGGTCTGAACATTGTCACCTAGATCTCCTTAGCAAATCCTTGTTGGTCTTGTTTTAGCTGATATTCATGATTCAGAAAACAGTCTCCTTAGAGCTGGTTCAGGAACATAGGCTCTGCTTGTGCTCAGCTCCTCTCATGAAGCAGGAGGGGTAGGCAGCAATGCATCCTGTGGACAGGGCCTTTCTCTTCTCATTAATATTTTGTTATGGAAATTTTTCAAGCTGCATTGCAGGAGAGGGAAAATTAAAATGAATGTTCATGTACCTTCATCACTTCAGCCAGCATTGACATTTGACCAATCATTTTTCATTTTTCTTCCAAGGTAAAATCATCCCAGATAAAAGCAATTCCCAGACACCCTATCACTTCAACTATAAATACTTTAGTGTAGCTAAGAAGTACTCTTTTTAAGAAACATAATGACAATGCCATTATTATAATTTATAAATTATTAATAGTTATTTAATATCATCTAACATCTAGTCATTGGTCAGATTGTCCCAGTTTTCTCATACGTGTGGCTTTTGCAGATGGTTTGTTCAAAACAGAATACAAATAAAGTCCCAAACTTGAATTTAGTAGATAAGTCTCTCAGATCCCTCTGCCTTTCCCTTGTCATTTATTTATTGAGGAAGCCAGACCTTAATTCTACAGAATTTCTCACATTATGGATCTGGCTTGTTCCATCTCTAGTGTCACATTGTCTTCCTGTTCCAAGTATTTTTTATAAATTGGTAGTTACATCTGGAGGCTCCATGAGACTCAGTTTCTGTTTTAGAGAGATAGTAGATAGGCTATTAGAGAGATTGTAGATAGGCTGTTTTTTCCTGCTGCATCAGATCAGGAAGCACAGAAACTCTTGAG